AAGATTTTATGAAAGTATCCTGCCTAAACTTGTTAAAACTTTCTTTCTTCCTTAAAAGCTTTTTTAAAAAATATCTTTTCATAGATTCCCAGCATTCATGCTTTTCCTCACTTCTGCCTATTCTCTTTCATTTTGGGGAAAATGTTCTATTGGAAGCCGGGGTAGCAACTTTTAGAAATAGAGAGAAGAGCAAGTAAAAAGCTGTCTTTTCTTCTTTTTTTTTTAATTATGCAACAAGTACTCTGTGAGAAAAATGACTGATAGAGGTTATAATTAGTCTACCAAATATTTGACCTGAAGTATTTGTTTATAAAGTGAAAATTCGCCTTTGATTTGACTCAGATTTTCCACAGCTTCTTTTCTTTCTTCCCCTTTCAAACATAGTATCTCTGTGTATATGGATGTTGATATCAATCATCTTTAGGAAGACTGTAGCTTTGAGTTGTCTGAGCTATTGGAATTGCTGTGCCATATTTGTATGTGTTTTCATTTTGTCTTCTTGTGTATTGGTTTATATCATGGGTGAAACCGGCTAAAGTCAAGGGCCAATGTCAAGTGCTCAAAAGGACAATAAGCCTCACCAATATTATAACTGAATTTAAGTTAATAGTCAAATTTTTATCTTTCTTGGGCAGATCTCAGGTCTAAATATGTCCACTTAGGAGATAAGCTCAAACTATTCCCTGAAATGAAAATTTCTGGAGAAAAACAACAAACCATCAGATAAGAGGTATAATTGGAATAATTTCTGCTTTCGTATTTAATAAGTTTTACCAGTAAGTCCCCTTACAGGCATTTTCCTTTTGGAAAGATATTTAATTATGAATTTTATTTATAATAAAACTGTTCAATTTCCTCTTTCCTTTTGTCACTTAAGTTATGGTTCTCAATGCTTATCCCTTTTATCTAGTTTGTTCAATTTATTTTCACAAAATTGATCACAATGTCTAATTTTACATTCCTGCTTACATAATCTAATTTCCACTTGATATCATTTACCCTAGCCAAAAGAACTTCTAGGATGTTTTTATACTGAATATCTGGTGACTAATGCTTGTTTGATTTCACAAGTTATTTTTCTTTCATTAACTTAGCAGTGTTGTTCCATTGTCTTCTACTTTTCATTGTGTCTGATGAAGGATAAGCCTTCTTTCTTATTGTTTGTTGGTTCCCTGCATTTAATGTGTAGTAACTAACATATCTCTTTTCCTTTTGCTTTTTAATATTGTTGATGTTCACCGATTAATAGGATGTGGCTGGCATTCCACTTCGATATTTGGTTAGATTCTTATAATTATAGAGGCAGTTTTAAAAATAAAGCTTTGAAATAATCCAATAAATATTTCCTCAGATAGTTTTTTTCTACTCACACTCTCCTTTTTTCTAGCATTCCAACTACACAATATTAATTCATTCACTAATATTCTTATTGACACTTTGCTTTGGAATTTTAAAGCAATTTTGTGGAAGATTTTCTCATAACTATCAATAATTTCAAAAGAAAATCCTAAATGAATAAAATTGTAATCCCTGTCAGTAACTGATGTTATAAATTGGCAGTTTTTTCTCTTGTCTTCCAAATCTTATAGCTCATTTTCTTTATGCCTTATTGTGTTGGCCACAACTTACTGATCAAGATTAATTATAATAACAATCTTTATCTAAGAATTTATCCAAGAATCTATTATCCAAATTGGCAAGGGACAGCCAAGCACCAAATTTCATGATTAAAAAGTACAGCTTGCTAAGGACTTTCGAGATATCTTCTACTGATTTCAGAGATTTTCCTAATTTTGAGTGTACTATATCTCCATTTTAAAATACTTTTTGAAATTTATTGTTATTTTCCGCTAACTACTGGAAAATATGAGAAAATTGTTTTCTATTCTCTAAACATTTCCAATTGTCCCTCAATTGTTTTGAATGTACACGGGATATCACTTCTTTGATTCCTGGAAGTCAGGTTGGCCATAGGACTTGCTTTTCCTTAAAAAGTAATAGAAGAAATGTTTGCCACTTCTGGGCAGAAATTTTCAGAGCCAGCGTGTTTCACCAATGTCTTTTTTTCTGGCTCTGTGATTGCACAAGAATATCTGAAGAAGGAGCTTCTATTAGCCTGGCCTAAACCAGTCTTTCACTTAAGGCAATTCTGGTGATTACAACATATTCATTGTGTATCCCATACCTTTGATTTTTATTTTGTATAAATTTTTGTTGATAACGTAACACAAATTTAACACACTTTGTCTATGTAGTAGCTAAAACCAGGTAAACATCACAGATTAGAGAATATTTTCTTAGCATTTCTTTTTAGGAAGTAAAATGAATAAAACATAATTAAATGTATAACCCCTTGGAGGATAATTGTTTCTTAAAAGAAAGACAAATAAATCTGCATGGGGCATATTTTGTTAGAAGAAAGAAAAGGGAAAGAAAAAAATAAAAATAAATAAAGAAGAAAGGGAAGAGAGAGGGAAGAAAGAAGGAACGAAGAAAAGGAGAGGTAAGAAATGAAGAAAAAGGTTTTTTTGTTTTTGTTTTTTTCTAGAAAGAGTAATTCAGAAGGGCTTCCCTGGTAAAGGGGGCATTTCCACTGGGCTTGAAATACAAAACTAAACATGATGAGAAAATTCTAGGAAGGGCCTATTAATAAAATATACTATGAGTAAAATATGAGAAAGATATAATAATGAAAGAGCAAGTTATACAGTGTGGTTCACTTTAATAGCAAAATTAATTTGTAGAAATATGAATTTATTCTGGAGGCATCACAGATTTTTTAATAGAGGTGAAATTTGGTTACTGTGTTGGGAAAATAATTGTTGTTGCTGTTATGCTTAGGATGAATTGATATAGGTGGTGTTAGAGGTCACAACAGGCTTGGGAGGGACGGGGAGTTTTAACTGTTGAAATGTGACAGTGAAGGCCTAGAAAAGGGGATAGGAATGCAGCAAGACCCCTGAGCTACGTGGTCTTCAGATGTTTTCATCTATAATTTAGCACTTGAAACATAACATTATTTATTTCTGTGTATTATAAGCCAAGGAAATAAAGCCTATAACTAGGTACAACTTACTGGATTGATACAGATGCAAAGCATAGTTTTACTGAATACCGATTCAATATGCTGATGTTAAAAGAAACAAAGATGAAAACATAGATGACGATGGAAAAACTTTGGCAGCACACACTTCTGGAAATTGAGTTTCTTTCTTTCTTTTTTCTTTTCTTTGGTTTTTTTGGTTTGGTTTGTTTTTTGTTTTTGTTTATTTTTATTTATGGGTTTTTTTTTGAGGAGGGGTTATGCTGCACAATAGGCAATTGTGATTCAGGTGTATTTGTTTATTCTGGTAGGAAAAAATCTTCCCCCTGAAACAAAAGTGCCATTATAAAGAGCCAGACAAAACCAACAACACCCATGGCTTTTCCATGTCCCATATGACTGTGGGGGACACATTTTGGGATTGTTGATCAGACTTTCTTTGTTTTCTTCTTTTAAAAAGGCATCTTGCAAATTGCAATACTTCTCCACGTTCTAAGGTATCATTTGTCCAGGGAAGAAGAGTTGGGAGTCAAGCATGAGTCTAGAGGTCTCCAAAGCAGTCACTTACAAAATCGTTTCATAACATATTTGTCAGCACATCTTTCTTCCAGTTCTGGCTTTGTTACCTTCTGTTTTCAATGTCAACAGTGGTAGAAAGTGAGCTATCTTCCCACTGCTCAAAATAACTATGTATTTGAGTAAAACTTATAATGGTGGATTCTACTTTTAGCCAGGAAATGCAAACAAAGCTTGGAGACTGCTTGTTCCTTGACCTCAAATTCATTCCGTGTTGCTATAGCATCACTCCTGAGAAAATGGGCCTGCCTGTTTTCCTCCCCTTAGACACACTCAATGGGCTTTTGTCAGCTTTTGAATTATAGCATTAAAATTGAAACACTAGGGATTTAGTGGAGGATTATTATGATACTCCAGTGCATTCTTTCTCTTGCCATTAGCAACAACCCCAAATATTAAGTAAAATGTTAAGAGGTGCTGTTTTCCAGAAAGACAAAGGGTCTACCTTACATTCTTGGAGTTACATAAGCTGATTTGTATGCATTGTTATTACCATGAGTAGAGTACTGTTAGTATATAATACCGGTACGTTGATTGTTTTTCCTTTAGTTTAGCAAATCAATACAGACAAAAACATTTTCACAGCACCACCCCCACTCCCTCCAAGATGACTTTCCATTTGCTGCTCCCAATGTCTGGAAGATATGCAGTGACAATGGCACAGCATTCTCCACCTTACACCCTCCAAAGTGAAATTGCAGTAAAAGAATCTACACCCACACCTTTGGGGATCTGCCTGTCTGTATGGAACGGTAATGACTGAACCTTGTCCATGTAGGATTCTGGGAGAATTGCCTGATGAAGCCTAAATGAACGGAACGGACAAGGAATGTTACAGTACTGTTTTTCCCTTGGTTTGTCATTGCATTAAAGAAGACATCAAAATAAGTAATAAAATGTAGACATTGTTTGTGTTTTTGTTTGATTATGTGATTGGAGAAAGTGTTCCACAAGCAGATTTTCAACTACATTTATTGTCTCTTGCAAGCACTTGCGACTGTAGCTGTACGTCACGTACCCGTCTCTTACTCTCGGGTCCACTCCTGGGTTTAGCTTCAGGGCTCTTTTTCTTTTTAGCAGCAGGAATCACAACAAGTCATGTCACTCTCCCAGCTGTCAAAATGTGGATATATGATTTATCCTCCTATATTCTTTCTAGATAGCTCTTTTAAAAAATGGTAATGTATTCTCTTTGGAATAAATTCAAATTCATTATAGGAAAAAAGAAAACCAACAGAGAGACACCAAAAAGAAGAAGAGGAGAAGGAGGAGAAAGAGGAGGAGGAGGAGGAAGAAGAGGAGGAGGAGGAGGAAAGGAAGAAAGAAAGGAAGGAAGGAAGAAAGAAAGAAAGAAAGAAAGAAAGAAAGAAAGAAAGAAAAGAAATAACAGGCCATAAACAAGTGAGTTGTCTTTTAGATTTTCACAACCAAAATACAATATTTTTAACCCAAGTTTGAGTCATTTTGTATAGCAACAAAAATAAGACTTATTTTCATGGAAGATGTCAAGTGCTTCGCTGTCTTTTTCTGTAGAGGAAACTCTGTTACCAGTTTCTGGTATTTCCTTCCAGTGAAATCCATGCAAACATCTTTATATTTGCTATTTTCACATAAAAGTGTTAAGCTTCACCTTTTCAACCTCTTTCTTTTCACATAATCATGAATCTTGAATTTGTATGGGTAACTAAGTAGCGAGAATCTTGTGGGACTAGAGGTTTGGAGGATTGAGGGAGGTCACTTGCCTGAAAGTTTCCTTTCCTAAGCAAGCACATTGCTATTAGGGTTCAAATGGATGCAGTTGGTCAACAAATGGCAGAGGTAACGAAACATGCTTTTATCCACACTTCACTGAGAAAGTATTTACTGTTTGTAAAAACAAAAATTTTTCATATTATTTTGTTTTTTTCATGGTTTGTGTGGAGGTAGAGTAATTTGGCTACTGAGTTCCTGAATGAGACATTTTTTGGTAGTTTCTTGTTTGCTGTCACAAAGCAATGGCGCAATAAACATCCTTGCAAATCTGACTTTATTCACATATGTGAATATGCTTTTACTCCAGTGTTTAACCAGCTTTTCCAGCATGGGACTCAATACCTGACACCTACAATATAAGGAAAGAGATATTTAATTTGGATCATAGTTCAGGGGGTTCAGTTCAGGGTTACCTGCCTCTAACACACAAACGTCAAGGTGAAAAGATATGGCAGAGAAAAGTTGCAGCCTCACAGCCTCCAGGAAATAGCAGGAGAACAGGTGCAGAAAGAAGAGGTGATGGACCAGACCTGGGCCCCAAATCCACACCTCCATGATCCACTCAGGATACCCATGGAATGCTCCACTCAACCTCTGGATAGAGCCCAAAGCAATAAAGTTGACACTACCCTAACAACTGCATTCAAATTACTAGAAATTGAAGTACTTAGGCCATGACATCATATCCCTAGGTATCACCTTCAGTGACCTGAGCCAGGAGATCAAGAGAACCTCTGTAAACTGAGGTGCTCCTGGAGCCAGTGGCTTAGCATCGGGAAGCAGAGTAGGAGATAAAGTTCCCCTAGGGTTGGCCTTGCCACTTTTCATGTAATACTGAGATGCCTTTGAACACATCATTTTCCTTTGACAAGGGTGGCTTGTTGGGCCTACTTCAATTTGGGCATCGTTAAATTCCAGTTGACCCAAGCCAGAGAGTCAGGAGGCCTCTGTGAATTAGGTGTTAAGCTTTGCCAAAGCCCAGCTGCAAGCTGCTTTTCAAGAGAGCTCCCCAGTATCATGAGCCAGGTGCACAGAACCTGTGGTCTGTCTGGGGAATGGGGAGGCCTCTCCGTGCAGTGGATGAAATCAGCGTGAAGATGAAGGCGGAAAGGAGAGAGGATACGAAAGTGGGAGGGCCCCCATGCCAGGAAGCAAGGTCTTTGCTTCAATTTGAGCAAGTCTGGACAGGTACAAGACCATCCAAGAGAACTTGTAAAGATTTTGGCCTACCCCAAATACTGTTGGATTCGTTTCAGCTTTGGGGATGCTTCTGTTCATGAACCACAGCTTCAGTGCCTTTTGCCTGGTGCTGCAGAGCTTGCTTCCCATTGTCATGGTAACCGTTACGCACCCTCCCAGAGAATAGTGTGCAATGATCAAGCATTACTTGGGCAGCTCGGTTCAGTCCTCTCACCCCTGGGCCTCAAAGCATCCATTAACTGGTAGGACAATGGGGGCTGCTCCCTATGCCCCTCCTTCTTGCCCAGGATGTGTTTTCAGATGCCAGAGGGTCCTGTCATATCCCCAAATCTGGCTTTGCAGGACTCTTAGCCCTTCTCCGACTGATGTTCACATCTAAGTCAGCATCCTGTTATCATCACCTGAACTATTAAGAACTATGAAGTATTTGAGATTCTCTCATTTCCAAGTTAGCAAGTCAGTGTGCCCCAGTTGTAGGAGGATGGGACTCCTCAAAGACAAAAGACTTTATTGCAGCACCATAAGTGCCATGAACGCCGGCCTACACTTGACAGCTCCCGTTGTCTCCAAACCCTGTGGAAGTGACACAGATGGCCACGACACAAACCATGCAAGCCATGCATGCAATCGTTTGCATTCCAGCAAAGGAACCTCCACATAGGGAGTGTATTTTATAAGGGCAGTAAGCATGTCTGTCTTTTTTTCCTTCTAGAGGGAAACATTTTCTTCATTACAGTGGGCAGTAAGCACGCCACATATTGTCTGTGCCATCCAAGGTTATTCGTTATGCAAACATGCTTAAAAAGATCCAGATGAAAAGCCAGTCAGCACTTCTGTTCCTGAGATGTGTCAGAATGTGAGAGACCCATGGATAATTGGTTTCCAACATATTCTATCATTTGGATGTATCTAAAGGTATTCAAATACCATCCCACCCCACCGTTCATGAGCATTCTTTTACTAAAAACTATTGCTAGCTGATGGAATGATCCTTATGTACTGTTTATTTTTATTGGATAATTTACCACATGGAATTCTTACATAGAAATGATAAACTAAGTGATAAAAGCAAACAACGGTCACTGGCGAGAGGATGAGAAAACAGAAGATATGGATTCCAGGGACTGCAGACATTGGAATAATCTGGTATGGGACATATGTGTAAAATATCTCTGCAACAGACAATAAAAAATTCAAACTGCAGGTTCATATAAAATACAACTTTAAAGAATGAAAGAATAACCTTTTACCTTCTTAATATCAACTGTGTAATAAGAAAATTTAAAATAATCTATGACAGTGCAAACTTGCACCAGTATTGAAAGGAACTTTACAAAGTCATGAAGATACTCACATAATTAAAAAAAAAAGTTTTACTAAACTTTTAAAAAATGTATCATTCCAGTCCTGTACAGATTTAAGCAGAAAATGAAAATAGAAGGTAAAGAACTCTGTTTTATCTTATAAACCAAGTATGGTCTTAATAACAAATCAGATATATGTATCTCTTAATTACAATAACAAATTACTACAAATTCGGCTTCTTTAAACAACACTTTATTATCTTACATGTAATTCTAGGGGGGGGTCCGAAGAAGTCCTACATCCATCACACCAGACAGAGAGCGAATGTTAGCAGAGGTGTCTTCCTTGTGAGACTGCTCACATTTCAAGCTTCTTGACCTTTGCCCTCCATCTTGAAAGCCAGCAATGGTGGAGTCTTCATGCTACAGCCTCTAGTTCTCCACAGATGGGATGTGTGGACGAGACTAGGTCGGGCCTGTTCGGACAGCCCAATCTAATCTTCTGCTATTATGTTTCTTAATATTAATCACACTGACAAAGGCCCTTTTCCACAGCTTATTTCTAGTCTCCAAAGATTAGAACATGAACTTCTTTTCTGGGCCCATTATTTTGCTTGCCAAAACCAACAAGCAAATATGGGAAAGGAAAACTAAAGGACATGACAAAAAAGCCTAACTTGAAAATCTTAATCCACAACTCTTTTATAGTCAAGAAATTCAACACTGTTAAATATCTCAGAAAAAAATCTGTACATTGAATTATGATGTTAAGATAAATATTGTATAATCATCTCTGGAGGCCTAGAAAATAGCTATACTTCAGTAATTATTTACAATATTAAACTATTCTTAGGAAACTAGAATTAAAAGTGAATTTCTATAATTGGATAAAAGGGATCAACAGAAACTACATCAAATATCAACCTTGGTGGCAGAATTGGAAAAGTGCTTGCTTTAAAATTAGAAAGAAGAAGACCACTACCATCCAGTGTAGAAGTCTGAAACAATCAAGTAAGATAAAAAGAAACAGAAGTTCTAAGATTCTAAAATCATTATAATTCACAGATACGGAACTCTAAAGAATCTACAGAATTAATAAGACAATACAGCCAGATGATTAGAAAACTGTATACTTTTAATTTTAAAGTAGATATCATTTACCTTAGTAATAAAATACAAGATATATAAAATGTACTTAACCGAAGAATACAAAATCAAACCAGCACAGTGGCACACACCTGCCATCCCAACTACTCCAGAGACTAAGGCAGGAGGACTGCAAATTCAAGATCAGCCTGGGCAATTCAGCAAGACCCAATCCAAAATAAAAAAATTAAAAAGAGCTGGGAGATAGCTCAGTGGTAATATTCACAAGGCCCTGGGTTCGATCCCTAGTACAGCAAAATGAGTGAATGAATGAAGTTAAAAAGAGAGAAAGAGAAAAAAAGAGAGAAAAGAAAGAAGGGAAAAAGAAAGAGCTCGTACAGCGGGAGAGCCCTTTCCTAGCATTTGGGAAGCCCTGGATTCAACCCCTTAGTAACACACACAGACACACACACACACACACACACACACACACACACACACGCGTGTTTAACTCTTTATGAAGAAAACATTTGAAAGTATTTAGATGTTAAAGGCAAGCTAAATACAAAGGTTAAATGCAAACCTTTTCCATCTTCAAGAAGACTTGTTTTAAGGAAATTGATAGCCTCGAATTCCTTACATGCAATATGCAATTTCTATTTAAATTCAACAGGAAGTCTTTCCTCGAAACTAGGGAAGCTGATTGTGAAATTTGCTAGGGAAAGGAAAAGCACAAGATCAGTTAAGACATCCTTGAGGAAAAGATAATGTGACAGAATTTCTCCCAGAAGACACCATAATTTCTCAAAGCTATAACAATGACAGTGGTACTAGCTGATGAACAAAAGTAAGACTGAGAATAAAAAGCAGAGATAAATCTGAATTCATTCACAGATTGCAATGCTGTGCAATTGAGGCCAGTAAACCAATGAGAAATTGGGTCTGTTCAATATTTATTGCTGGCACAATGGGTCACTCATTTTGAAAAATATGGAACTAGACTTCTATACAATTCCCACAAATTTCTGATTGATTTGATCTTTAAATGTGAAAAGCAAT